TCCAATTTTACAGTAGCCTATGTTTATGGATCAAATATGGATTAAATAGCCTACAGAGACCAAAACTGTATTTATAATGATTTAATAATGTTTTGTAATATCGTAATATTTTCAAGTCAATTAATATGACAGGATCTTAACATGGCACAGTGCAACCTTTAGCGGAGTTCCACTGCAGGAGGTGTTTCAGCCGTACTGTGAGGTGTCAGTGTCCAGCTGAAGTGATTGGCAGCTGATATTGTGCAGCAGCAGTAGAGGAAGATCTGCTCTGACCCGACGACCTTCAGCAGTCAACACACACAGGTTTGTTTTCGTGGGGATATTCCTTAGGCGTTATGGTTTTTATACTGTACAAACCGTATTTCCTATTGCCCTACACCAGCCCTAAACCTACCCCTCACAGGAAACTTTCTGCATTTTTAGATTTTCAAAAAAACGAATTCTGAATTATTTATAAGCCTTTTGAAATATGGGGACACTCAAAATGTCCAATCCCATGAGTTCTATTAATTATTACATCAATAATAGAAATACCAGAAACAACACTCCATCGGGTCTGGCACTAAAAAAAACTTCAATGAATTACCTCTGGCTATAGAATAACTACAAACTAGCTGAACTAATGCATCCATACATACAGTCTGCTAATCAACCTATAAATGATTTGTTTGTCTTGTACAAACTTCTATTTTTGGTCTTTTTATTGGATGCCGAAAGCTTCATGAGTAAAGCAACTCAGAAGTGTTATGTGCAGTAATAGCAGCAGGCAATGTTAAAATCAAACACCAGGTGGGGTGCCAGAATAATCTATCACTACAGGTACACCTGATACTTTTTTTATTTTTTATTAACAATATCAAAATACATGTATATGACAAATGCTATACATGAACTAAACAATTTCACACTAGAGGGGCTGTATACAAATATACATTTATATAAAAATATTAAAGCGTTTACAAACTTTCTCCGTTTTAATTGCTTTTTGTTTCATAGAAAATCGTATAGTATCAATATAATGCTCCATTTCCTTCCTAAAAGAAAAAAAACAAGGTTTTTTGCATGAGAACGTACATTTGTGAATATGAAATTTTGCATGTAAAAAAATAAGATTTATCATGTAAACGTGACTGTGCTTTTCTTTGCTGTTCTCCAATATACCAAATAATACATCTTTCTACAGGTACACCTGATACATCTGAAGCCCTGGGTTACGTCATGACGTACGGCGGGATGTAGTCATAGCTAGCTTGTATCATGAAAGAAATTGAAATATACAAAAAACAATGGCATAGCACATAATATTAGGTACTATTAATACATATAGTTACATTTTCTGAAACTAGGCCAATATAGCAAATGTTTAAATGGTTGATTTTTTAAAATTCAAAGTGTAAAATGTCAATTTTTTTCAATAATAATGCTAGTCATTCTTGAGAAGTGGGACAAAACAGGGCGCAAAATTGAAAAAAATAAAACCTTGTACTCAAGACAAATTAAACTACATTTATGTTTCTTATATGTACTGAACTACTGAGCTATGCTTTGATACAATCTCCCAACTTTTCTCTTTTTTTAACAAAATGTGCTTTTTTTTTATAGCTTGGACTGTGCAATATAATTTCAGCTTTATCTTTAACGTATAGGATATGCTTCTTTCAGAATGCCATTGGTTGTGGTTTGGGCGGTTCTGGCCTATCGTTTGTGTTGGGGGGTCCGGGCCTATCGTTTGTGTTGGGGGGGGTTATTATTGCTGCTCTCCCTGCTCATTCATGACAGGCTGCATGGATGGGCAGGGAGGTTTTTTGCCCAGAACAGAACCATACCGCCAAACCAAACTTTATGCTAAGTATCTATCATTTTGACGATAGTGGTCCTGACAGAAATTTAAAATGTTATTAATGGAACTATTAAATGATAATCCCATGAGTTCTATTAATTATTACATCAATAATAGAAATACCAGAAACAACACTCCATCGGGTCTGGCACTAAAACAAACTTCAATGAATTACCTCTGGCTATAGAATAACTACAAACTAGCTGAACTAATGCATCCATACATACAGTCTGCTAATCAACCTATAAATGATTTGTTTGTCTTGTACAAACTTCTATTTTGGTGTTTTTATTGGATGCCGCAAGCTCCATGAGTAAAGCAACTCAGAAGTGTTATGTGCAGTAATAGCAGCAGGCAATGTTAAAATCAAACACCAGGTGGGGTGCCAGAATAATCTATCACTACAGGTACACCTGATACTTTTTAATTTTTTTTATTAACAAGATCAAAATACATGTATATGACAAACGCTATACATGAACTAAACAATTTCACACTAGAGGGGCTGTATACAAATATACATTTATATAAAAATATTAAAGCGTTTACAAACTTTCTCCGTTTTAATTGCTTTTTGTTTCATAGAAAATCGTATAGTATCAATATAATGCTCCATTTCCTTCCTAAAAGAAAAAAAACAAGGTTTTTTGCATGAGAACGTACATTTGTGAATATGAAATTTTGCATGTAAAAAAATAAGATTTATCATGTAAACGTGACTGTGCTTTTCTTTGCTGTTCTCCAATATACCAAATAATACATCTTTCTACAGGTACACCTGATACATCTGAAGCCCTGGGTTACGTCATGACGTACGGCGGGATGTAGTCATAGCTAGCTTGTATCATGAAAGAAATTGAAATATACAAAAAACAATGGCATAGCACATAATATTAGGTACTATTAATACATATAGTTACATTTTCTGAAACTAGGCCAATATAGAAAATGTTTAAATGGTTGATTTTTTAAAATTCAAAGTGTAAAATGTCAATTTTTTTCAATAATAATGCTAGTCATTCTTGAGAAGTGGGACAAAACAGGGCGCAAAATTGAAAAAAATAAAACCTTGTACTCAAGACAAATTAAACTACATTTATGTTTCTTATATGTACTGAACTACTGAGCTATGCTTTGATACAATCTCCCAACTTTTCTCTTTTTTTAACAAAATGTGCTTTTTTTTTATAGCTTGGACTGTGCAATATAATTTCAGCTTTATCTTTAACGTATAGGATATGCTTCTTTCAGAATGCCATTGGTTGTGGTTTGGGCGGTTCTGGCCTATCGTTTGTGTTGGGGGGTCCGGGCCTATCGTTTGTGTTGGGGGGGGTTATTATTGCTGCTCTCCCTGCTCATTCATGACAGGCTGCATGGATGGGCAGGGAGGTTTTTTGCCCAGAACAGAACCATACCGCCAAACCAAACTTTATGCTAAGTATCTATCATTCTGACGATAGTGGTCCTGACAGAA